CCCCCCCATCCTCCTTCTGTTCTGAAATTTGATTTGTCCTTTTCATATGTGTTCATTTTTTTTAATTGTATCCTTTGGTATATATGGTTGCGACTATTTTCTTCCACTATTTGATCTGAGGAAGTGGGTCTGGCCCACGAAAGCTCATCACCTAATAAACCATCTTGTTAGTCTTTAAAGTGCTACATAGTCCTGTATTTTGTTTCAGGAACAAAGGTGTGTTTTCCTTCTTCATTACAGATGATGGGTACATTTTTTTTTTTAATTGTATCCTTTGGTATATATGGTTGCGACTATTTTCTTCCACTATTTGATCTGAGGAAGTGGGTCTGGCCCACGAAAGCTCATCACCTAATAAACCATCTTGTTAGTCTTTAAAGTGCTACATAGTCCTGTATTTTGTTTCAGGAACAAAGGTGTGTTTTCCTTCTTCATTACAGATGATGGGTACATTTGGGATGATGATGGTGACTCCTGTTGCACTTCACAAAAATCTGAACACAAAAATCTGGCAAGCTCATACCAAAGCATGGGACAGTATCTTTAAAACAGGTAATTTCTAAATACAAAACCCACATGTTTATGAACTCCTGGGAATTCTTACTCGGAATTCACTCACTTATAATTGTTGTTACATTGCAAAACTGCTGGTTGCTGACCTTCTCACAAAATGCAACATATTTTGCTTCTTACTCCAAACTTCTAATCAGATTGTAGGAAGAGCACTGTTTATACTGCTCCCGCAAAGTTTATTTGACTTTTCCTTATGACTAACCCTTTGCTCTATTCTGTAAACACATGATGCATAGGGAAAACCCATCAGTTTTGGAAAGGGAACAGTATAATTAGTAGTTCCACCTTTGAAACTGAGGTAAATAGACTGAAAGCAGTGTATTTGAGAACCATAGATAGCAGAGCATACCATCTTAAGGCTGTTCTTGAGAGACAAGGGGTTGCATGCTACAGAGAGATGTATGCTAAGAGTTAATACATATTTATGATAGAGCTCAAATTCAATAACTTTATAAATGCAGGTCCTGAGACTCCTGAAGTGACAAGCACTGGCTGGGTTTTTTTTTAACAGCTCTTATTGTTGGCTTTGGTTCTACTGGTCTTTGAAATTAACAAAAGATACTATATCCTCAGACTAAGATAGAGGTTTCCACCATCTTTCAGCCTGTGATTATTCATGTTAAAAATTAAGCAAGGTTTCGTAGCTCAGATTATTTAATATTGACCAGAATATTTATTCTCACTGTTGTACAGTGAGTGATTCATCTGTAAGGTTCAGATCTGTTGTATGATAGGAGGAAAATAGACACTACTTCACCACGCCCAGTTTGGTGCATGCGCATTTCATTGCTTTAAAAACAAACAATAAAAGTTTCTTCATTCATAAGGAGCGAGTTCTGACACCATGGCTTGTGTTGAATAGAACCTCTCTCATAAACTAGTTCTAAGGAAGCTATTCGTGGAGCCAAGTACAACTCATGGTGAATAAGGATGGCAAAATCTGGCACACTATGTTTAAAAAAAAAGTCTTTATCAATTTGGAATCAAAGATTTACTATCACAGAGTTAAACACACTGCAAAGTTTCCAGTTAAAAAACTAGGATACTTTTATGCTCAACGTCCAAATCTCGTTGGCTTCCAAATCCCATTGTCCCCTTTGAAAAGCCAAGCCAATGTACGTTATCCTTATGTTAGCAGCAACCCATGTACTCATAGCTGAATGTGTAGCTTACATAAAAAGTCATTGATTTCTCTCATACCTCTATCAGGCTGAATGCCTTCTAATTGTCAGTAGTTTCCTCCAGCCATCCCTGATTTTTATCAAAGAGGGAACGTGGGTGTTTCACTGGGAGACGGGATACCCACAGGAAAAGGGCAATATTATTTTGGTGGTGGTGGCTCAATAAACATTGTCTCCTTTCTCCTGACCATCAATTTTTTTATGAATTTTAGCAATGTTTTAATCACTTTCTCCCTGTCTATCTCCAGCCAAGTGTTCAATTGACAACAGATTAGAGAAATATTCTGCCAACCCCAGTGAAGATTTCCTGTGTGACATTTATTTTGGGAGTGAACTCTCCAAGAAGGAACTGTATGCTTCTATCACAGAGTTCCAGATTGCAGGCGTTGAAACGGTAAAACTAGTTTGTTTTCAAAAAGTTTTTTTGTTTTGTTTGTTTGTTGTTTGAATGCTGTCATTGCTGATAGCTTATCACATACCAGACTGAGGGCCCTTACCTACATTCAGTGCACATCAAGATTACACACCTGGAGCTGTGACTGTTTGTTGTTAGTCCCATTTTGAGTATGGGCATCTTCACAGTAACTGAAATTAGTATCATAGCAGGTAGCTAATTTTCCAGCTCTAACAAACCTTTCTGTCTCTAAGGGTGACTTCAAATACCTAATATGGAACTGATATTCTCTCTGGGCAAGGCAGAGGGGTGCCCAGCTCTGTGGGTGGAAGGAGCAGGGCTGGGGCTAGCCCTCAGTAACGCCTGGAGTGCGTTTCACCTCCCCTCACCAGCCTTTCAGTGCTGCTCAGAGCGCACCATGTGGAGCTCCAGCATGATTTAAAGGGCCCAGGGCTCCAGTAGCAGCAGCAACAGCCAGGACTCTCAGGCCCTTTTGAATTGCCAGGCCCATGGCTCCCTGTGTCCTTCCCTGTCCACTGGCCTGCTCATATTACTCAATATTCTGGTGGTTTTGTCATTAGAGTTCTCTATGCATACACAGCTCATGCTTGTCTTCTGGTCATGTTTCAGACTGCCAATAGTCTACTGTGGGCTCTGTATAACATTTCACGCTATCCACACGTCCAACATAAGCTTTTCCAGGAAATACAGAGTGCAGTGTCTGCTAACGAGAGTCCAAATGCAGAGGACCTGAAGAAAATGCCTTACCTAAAAGCATGTCTGAAAGAATCTATGAGGTAAAACTCTTTACATAATTTCTGAGTAAAGCAAAATGGGCTCTGTGAGACTAATATGCCATAAGGGGGAAAGGTATTCCAGTAAGTATAATAATTTCAAAATGTCCACGTAGGTATTCAGATTAAAATCCATATCTATGATGAGGCAAAATCACGGTAGATTAATTCATTGTATGTATTTTACTGTAGGATAACACCATCTGTGCCATTTACCACTCGTACACTTGACAAAGAAATAGTGCTTGGGGACTATGTGCTACCTGAAGGGGTGAGTACAATTTGTTACTGTAGGTATCTTAAAATAAGCATTTTATAATATAATTATGAACACAAGGTAACCACTCCAGTCTGAAAATGTCTCTTGATGGTTTGCTGGTCGCAGACTAGTTCCCATCATGTAAATGCTTTTTTGAAGCATTTAGACAGCATAGTCATGAGCTTAGCATTGGCAGCCTAAAAAGATGAAGGCATTCAATGTTGACTTAAATGATAAATATTAAAGATTTCTCAGAAACTGAAAGCCATTGAAATGGATAACATTGGATTATAAATTAAGGCATTAATTTCACTGAAGGGGATAATCTCAGGCATTCATTTTTTACTCTTTGTGGTCCACCTCACCAACCCCTCATTCTGCTATTTCTTATTTTTCACCTTAGATTTGGCAGTTCTCAATAGGTTAAAAGGCTAGCATGGAGAAAGTACTATAATTATCTAATCTCCTCTCTTAAAAATGTGTCCTGGTATAACGCCCTTGGCTTTAATGCAGTTGCACCGCCTTAGACTGAAACTGAAGTTAACATATTTCCGAAGAATTGTAGTGTTGATTCCAAGACATTCTTCATATTTTCCATTGATGTTTGTCTTCTCTTTCATGATTGTTTGATATACCCAGAAAAGTACTACATTACTTTTTGAGAAAATAACTTTTGCTTTCCTTTTTTATCAGCTTTTTCCATTAATACAAAATGACTTATTCAGTTATTCCAAACCTGTTCTTAACTGAACTTTTCCCACTGCTTTTATTTCCAGACAGTGTTGATGCTAAACAGCCATGCCTTGGGATCCAATGAAGAGTACTTCAGTGACTGGACTACATTTAAACCAGAGCGTTGGCTTGAGAAGAATATAATAAATCCTTTTGCTCATATTCCTTTTGGTATTGGGAAGAGGATGTGCATTGGGCGTCGCTTGGCTGAACTGCAACTTCATTTAGCCCTTTGCTGGGTAAATATTGCATTATAACTTTCTTTAAACTGCTTGCAACTGGTCTGATTAGCCTAATTTTTCAATCATATCTTGAGCCAAAGTCATGCTTGGTCTCCTGTAACTCATGTTTTTGTGTTTACAGCTTGTTCGCAAATATCAGATTGTGGCAACTGACAATAAGCCAGTCGAAGCTCTGCATTCAGGAATATTGATCCCCAGCCGAAAGCTTCCCATTGCATTTCAAAGACGATGAGGTAAAGTGGATAAGTGGCTTTGGGACATAGTAGACTCAGTTCTGCTCCAGGTAGTAGTACCCACTACTAAAGACAGGGGGGCTGTTTAGGCATAACAGAATTTGACCTGTGCAATTTAACATCACTGCATGAAGAATCACATTTCTTAAAAGTCAGTGTGCTGCATTGCCCTTAAGTAATTCTTGTAAACTACAAAAGAAGCTACGAATTGCATAACAGATTGATATAACTTTCCAGTCTTTGACTGTGTTAAGTACAGTGGCCCATAACAGTCTATGTCTGTCCTCCAGACAGATAGCGAAAACTAGCTCCTCATCCCCCACTCCTCCATGTATAACAATTATTAGCTGGAATCCAATTAATGGTTTTCTTCTGCATTTCTAGAAGACTTCGTCCTGAAAATAACAATATTTTTCTAATGTATTAAATCAAAGTGTTGGCCCATTTAGTTTCACCAGTGGCAAACAACTGGTGCTGTCATTAAAGGCAAATCACCATATAAGGAATAAAATTGCTTGACCTTCACTTGCATAACACTTGAACTGTTAGTAAAGGTGGGCCAGTCCAGGAGGCTGGATTCAGATTAGAGCTTGGAGTTCAGATTCAAGGTTAGTTAAGGCTACACTTTGATTCTGATGGTGCCAAAGTACCATGAACTTATGTGAGATTTCATAGTCAAAATACTATAAGATTGGCTGTACACATGCCTGATTTAGCTTGTACTAAAGCCAAATGTAAACTGGAAAATTAGATTTCATGGAGAGTTAGACAGGAGATAGAACCAAGCCATTAAAATAGGGATTTAAGTGGAATGGGTCCTTTTACTAATCCATTAGACAAGAGCAAAATTTACCCTATGAGAATTAAACAATATGCTAAACGTATTCTTTGATTGTACAGAACTGTTCATTATATGAATGGACTCTCTGTTTATCCAGATCTTCTGTGGACTGAGGACTATGCTATTACTGCCTTTTTCTGATGACAACACATGTGAATCTGGAATGCCAAAGCCAGCAGGCATGAGCCGTGGGGGAAATTGCCATGGACATGCCTTCAGGAAAGCACTGAGAAGGCCAGAAATACTGTGAAGAAAAGCTCACCTAGTCTTTACACTGCATGCAAATGTGTCAGAGTTAGCAGGTTTTTCGAAATGCATTTCACAGTCCTAAAATGAAAGAACAAAAGTATTGTGCACATTTTGCATCTGTGGGCTCACAGGACAACAAAGTTCAGGGAATTTTCTGGTTTGAGCGTTTTAGTGTGGGCTGTGGAACTCAGCATTGGGTGCTAGTCAGTACTGAGTGAAGAGTGTTACCTGAAAATCTGGAAGCTGGAAGTTGTTCAGGGTTTGAGAAAGGAATTAGTCTCAATTCTATGTGTGTCACAAAGGATATCTCCTTGGGAAAAAAGGCATGAGTGATGGACCTGCTAGTTTGGGGGTGAGGTGGGACAGGGTAAAGAAATCTTGCCTTGTTCTTTTCCAGTCTGCCCCTGTTTTGTGGATTTAGTTGAGGATTTCCATCTGCAGGTGACCTTTTAACAAAAGCACTAAAGAGGAAAGTAACAGAAATACATTGCCCCCTTAAGAGATTCTACTCTTTATACAAGGAAAATAAGATCAAAGCCTTTTACATGGACTTGTTAATTTATTTGAACCCTGCCTCACTGTGATGCCTATGTAACCCACACTCCTAGTGTGGTTACTGAGCAATGCAAGTGGTATCTAGTCCACAGCAACAGTTAAGATCAAAAGGCCTCTACAGCATGGGCAGGGAGCCAGCTGGCTTTTAGCTCAGAAGGTAGAGGCTCCTATACTTGGTTTTAGAGCTCCCAAGTTCAAATCCACCTGGTGATGGTTACATGTACCTGAGGGATTCTCAAACTTCATTGTACTGCAACCCCATTCTGATAACAAAAAATGCTATATGACCCCTAGAAGCAGGGATCAAAGCGCAAGCCCCACTACCTGGATGGGGGTGAGGGAAGACTGTAACCTGATATCCCTGCCCTGGAGCTTTGGCTTTGGGCCTGGTGATGAGGCTCCAGCTTTTGTTTCAGCCCCAGGCCTCCACAAGTCTAATAGCAGCCCTAGCAACCCCATTAACATAGGGTTCTGACCTTCACAATACTTGAAAATGGCTAGGCAGCTAATGTGCAGTGACTGCTGTTTATTACACTAATCATAATTGTCTCTCTGCTTATGGTCCTGTTCTCTCACCTGCCCTAATCCTCCCAATCTGTGTCTCGTTACATCCTTTGATTATAGCTCTCTCAGCCCATGGCTGTCTTTTTGTTGTAGGTGTAAACGGTACAAAGCACAAAGAGGCCACTTAACTAGGGCCTTGAGGAGTTACTGCAATACAAATTAAGAAGTTAACAGGGGCTGCATTTTGCCAGATGAGCAATATAAGATCTGAAAAATACAGGTACTTTAAAGTACCACCAACAATAAATATTTCAAAGGGTGTTGTTTATGGGGAGGATCATGGTTTGTGAAACTACACATGGATTTCAGTACCTGTGTCTGTATCAATGGGCCTGAAGTGGTAATTGCCCTCTGTCTGATGCAATACAGTATACCTAAAATGGCTCAATAGCATACTTCCCCTTACATAGTTAGGTGTAGCTCCTTTCTAATACAGCGTTTGTATATTATGTACATTGCTTTTTTTTAAAAAAGAAGTTATTTTTTAATTTGTATGCTTTAAGATGATGTAAAGTCTTAATAACTGTCTGCCTCTTAGAAAGGTTTGTTTCTCTTTCTTTAGGAGATGGTTATATTCATATTTCAAATAACTATTATTGTGTATAAAGAAAATTGTGAACATCCTGCTTTTCCTGTGCAATTTTGTAATAAAACAGTTTAATTTTGGGGGAAAAAACAAGTCTTCCATTCTTACTAAATATAATAAATATGGTGATTCTTTCACTGTACTTTACATGAAATAGTTTCTCTAGCTTACTGAATAATTACTTTCTACCGCTCTGGAAATCTCTAATTATCAATACTGGGGCCCTATTTATCCCCATAAAATGAGAGAAAATCTGATGCCACTATAATCACACACAGAGCTCTAATAGAGCTTCCTCTGGCTTCCCATTCAGAAAGCTGTTGTGTTTGAGGCTCACCTCACTGGACATTCTATGCTGTAAACTTTCTGAGTTTGAAAAGTCCAAGTCTGTTCCATCAGGAGTATCTAGGCACATGCCTAAGGTATGGAGCTTCTATCATCCCTTTGAGAGCTCTCTCTCTCTCTCTCACACACACACACACACACACTTGCCCAATTGCCAAGGTCCTGGGATTAGTTCTGTCCCCTCATACTTCATACCTTCCCCTAGTATGCCAATTGTGAGCTCACTGTGGGTTAACTGTTCACTTTGTTAGGGGCACGTGATAACAAACCAAACAGACACACTGTGGTTTTCAAGGATTCTAAAACAAATTACTTGTTGCTTAATACAAGACAGAAAAAATAAGAAACACCAATATTCATTTTCCTTTCTGGTTATTCACAATGCTGGAGAGTCCTTTGGGCTTAGGACAGAGACCTCTGAGGTGATCAGGATCTTTCTGCAATTTCTCTTCAGAATCATACCCTCTCTCTCTCTGTTAAATAGTATCTCTTGATACTAAAACATTAATCTCTTCCTCTCTGCAGTCCAAAGCTTTCTGAGAATTAAGTTCATGTCCCACCACTGACAGCTGGATCATTTATTCTTCTTCTGGGGAATTTCCACTCACCATTTCCACCTCATGTAGAGAAGATAGAGGAATGAGTCTAGCTTTAGCCAACTTATTTTCTTTGGTCTGACAAGAGACATATCCAAGCCTAGACAGGTACCATACATTGAGGCATTCTATGTTGTAACAATTTCATGTAAGACCAAATTTGTCAGTTGTACACAGACTGATTCCCCAAATTGTTACATAGTTACATGTAGAATGACAAATGCAGATCAGCTGACACATAAACCTCCAATTAATTTTCTGTCTCTTCCCAATTTATTCAAAATGATGCAATATATGTTGTTCATGGGCTTTTTACCAACACTACATTGGAACTAGTCATAGACTAAGAGGATTTTGGTTCTCATATGTGCAATAACTAAACAACTAACAAAGCAGATGTGATAAGGCTTATGCCATTAGAAGCCTTGCAAAAAGCTGCTACTCTTAGGCCAGGTCTATACTAGGGGATATGTTTGAATTAAGATACACAACTCCAGCTATGTTAATTGCATTGCTGGAGTCGACATACGTTAATTCAAACTTTGCCGCCTTCCCCACAGCGGTAGGTTGATGGGAGAAACACTCCCATCACCATTTCTTACTCCTCATGAGGAATAGGTGTACAGGGCATCAATGGGGGCACCCTCAGTGCTTGATTTAGTGGGTCTTTACTAGACCCACTAAATCCAATGCCAGAAGATCAACTTCTGGATTGTCGATCCACAGGTAAGTATAGATATGGCTTTGATGTTCACACTAACAAAGAGTTCTTGTCTGTAGAGGTATAACTTTCACTAATGCAGTGGTACTTTTCTCAAACAAATTCATACCATTCCCTTTGGGCTTGATTGTGAAAATCTACTTCACTAAACAACCTCTAGGTAAAATCTCAGTTTTGGGAGTTCAAAAGTTCAATGATACCTCTACACTTGTTAGTGCCTTTGAATGGCTACATTCTAGAGTGTTCCTGCTAGTACGATTGTCTAAATTACATAGATCAGTTGCTGTAAATTGATGTAACTCCACTCAAGTCAATGGACTGCAAGGCCGTGTCCAGACTCAGGGGTTTTTTCGGGAAAAGTAGCCTTTTCCTGAAAAAACTTCCCCTGCATCCAGACTCAAGCCGCGTTCTTTCGAAATTATTTCGAAAGAACGCGGCTTTTCTTTCGATGGCGGTAAACCTCATTTCATGAGGAAGAACGCCTTCTTTCGAAAGTTCCTCTTTCGAAAGAAGGCGTTCTTCAATGTAAAGAGGCCGTCTTCGAAACAGAGCATCCAGACTCGCTGGGTGCTCTCTTTCGAAAAAGCGGATTTCTCTTTCGAAAGATCCGCCTGCAGTCTAGATGCGATCTTTCGAAAGAGCCTCTTTCGAAAGAAGCCTGCAGTCTAGACATAGCCCAAGAGTAACTGTAATCTCTATCACTCCTATTACATTGCCTCCTCTGATAGTAATAAACCATAGCACCAGAGTATTCCTAGAGCCCTGCATATCCACAGATACCCACTTCATATCCTTGAATGTGGATATCCATGGATAGTGGAGCAGACACCTGCACTGGAGTCTCCCTCGCACCCAGCTGCCAGGTCGCGGGGGAGGCACTATTGCAGGCCCCTGCACTGCCGGCAGGAAAAGGACACAAGATGCAGTGTCCTAAATCTCCCTGAAGGAGGGGGGTGCTGACCCTGCCCAGCTTCCACACAAACATAAGAACATAAGAATGGACATACTGAGTCAGACCAAAGGTCCATCTAGCCCAGTATCCTGTCTGCCGACAGTGGCCAATACCAGATGTGCCAGAGGGAGGGATCACAACTGGTAATCCTCATGTGACCCCTCTCCTGTCACCAATTTCCAGAAGCTAGGGACACCATTCCTACCCATCCTGGCTAATAGCCATTGATGGACCTAACCTCCATGAATCTATCTAGCTCTTTTTTGAATCCTGTTAAAGTCCTAGTCTTCACCATATCCTTTGGCAAAAAGTTCCACAGGTTGACTGTGAACTGGTGACTCCCCTTTCCCTGCCAGCCTGGTGAGGGCTAACCTGCAGAGCCCCAGACTACTGCCTGCATGTTCCCTGCTAACCTCCTTGCTCATCAGCGCTCCCTCCCTGCTCCAGATTTGTCACATGGATACAAGTAAAATCCGGATCACGGATTGCAGATCTGGATGAGGAGCAGATATGACATTTTTATATTTGTGTAGGGCTCCATTGTGTACATTGTGTAGAGCTACATTTTTAGCTCTAAGTATACCCTTAAATTACAATGAAGCAGTATTGCCCTGATAGTACTGGGGCTACCTTTACTAGCTGTTGAGATATACTATAAGCTTGCATAACAATTTCTAAAGACCTTGGGAAATAAGTGTAGCAATCCATCCTTCAATCTTTTAATCTCCACTCCATTCACAGGACTTGTACTAGCTTACAGTTTAGACCTTTGCATGCTTTGGAACTTGTCAAATTACCCCTGCAATCTCTTTCACTATTTGCATTCTTATCAGGACCTGGTGCATACCAAGTAGGTCATATGACTCTGCTTCTTACATCTACAGCAGATTTTCAGTCTGAACACTACATTGTTCTTCCCAGTATACACAGCAGTGTGATCTCACTAGATTCGACCCGTTCACTCTCTCCAGAGTGAACTAACGTCATTCAAAAGCCCTGCAGGATGGCAGGGGATAGTTTGAGATCTTTCAAGAGAAGAAGATATAATCCTACGTAAAACAACGTGTCCATTCTGCTGATACAGACAGCCTGAGGGTTACTTGCAGAACAAGCAGCCCATTTGCTAAAATTGCTCCTCGTTTGCTGAGTCAAGGATGTCTCTGGCTGAACTGTGGAGTTAAACTGCCACCAGTTCTGTTTCAAAATCCCTCTTTTCAGATAAACATAGGCTGTGTCTAGACTGGCCAGGTTTTCCAGAAAATCAGCCACTTTTCCGGAAAAACTTGCCAGATGTCTCCACTTGCCGCTTTAGTTTTCTTCACAAAC